CCCAGTTCCTGCAACCGTTCTTCATGTGTTTTAGCCTCCAGCCCCCTAATCATCTTTGTTGCTCTTCTCTGCACTCCTTAGGTAGGAAGCGTAGGGAAAGAGTAGCAAAAATAAGAATAAAATGTGCAGCACCTGAATATAACAATAAGTATGTAAGAGTAACAATGCACAGCATATGAAACCAGGAATTTGAGTAAAGTAAGAAGCAATACCAAATTAATATGCATCTATTTCATTTCTTAAGTCTATGGAGATTCTTAATCATGTCTTCATTTCTTATCCTACCTTTATTTGTTTTGAAAGCTCATCTATTTCTGTTTTTAAGCCGTCCTGAGCTTGTTGCATTTCTTGAATCCGATTTTGCAGCCGAGCATTTTCCTCTTTGAGAAGCATTATTTCTGCAGTGAGTGACTCAATCCTTTTTTCATAATCTTGTTTTTGGCTCTGGAAACTTTTCTCCAGTATTCTACAAAGATTCAGAAGGACATCCTCATCTCTCTACAATTCTACACGTCTAAGAAACAAGTCAATTACAGATGTGCAATCTCTCTCTCTCTCATATATCTGTTTGTGGCATATAACAACAAGATGAAATATATGATTTTTTTAAAAAAGTCGATAATAAAGGAACAGAAACAATAAAGCAGCAGCATTACACACGCATAACTTTCACTCCTTTTCTTTCAGCACCCATATTTTAATCAGAAGACGTGCATCACCTGTTTCTCAATGTTGATGTGTGGACTTCAACTCCCGGAATTCCTCCTGCTGGCTGGGGAATTCTGGGAGTCGAAATTCACGCATCTTAAATTTGCTGAAGTTGAGAAACACTGATGCAGAGGTGGTTTGCTACAGGTTCGCACCAGTTCAGGCGAACCGGTAGTAGAAATGGCGACTGGGTCACCGAACTGGTAGGGACGGCAGGTTTGCCGAGGTGGCGCAGTGGTTAAATGTTCTGCAGTTCGGCTGTTCAAATCTCACCGGCTCAGGGTTGACTCAGCCTTCCATCCTTC